TAAATCATTTGTTTTCTCTTTTTTTTTTTGAAGAGCTATACAACTTTCCCATGCTGGAAACATGTGAAGGCTGACTGCCTCGGGTGTAATCACATACCGACAGCAATCTTCCAATCACACCTCCACGCATCAATTTTCACGGGGATGATGGACACGAAAGTAAATTGCCTCAAGGGAACTTGAGTCACAAGTACTTTAATAACTCCTCTATTCTCCATCCAGCTAAGTGCAATCAGTTCACTTCAATTGACTCTGTTAAATGACACAAAGAGGTTAATCGTGCAAATAGATTTAGATGGGGGGAAAAGGGATCGTGGAAAAAATATTTAAGCAACATCACACAAGTATGATTGCTGTTGTGCTGAATATCAGCATGGCTTTTATTATGCTATAGGCACAAGGCTGCAGGTTATCACAGCTGTGCTATAATATTAAAGTGACAATGAAACGGAAGTAGCGACATATCTTTTCTTATGTATTGTGATGTATATCCGAGTGTAGCGGACTATCGAAAAACAAACAAACTTGATTCTGTCTGCCAGTTCTTGATTGGATGTTAAAATGTGGGCATCGAGCTCAAAAGTGGAGGTAGATACATATGAGCTTGTGGGGTGAAATTATTGTTGATTCCGCTGTAAGGAAATAACAAGTAGAACAACAAAGTGCAGTAAACGGTAAAACTGTATGCACTACAAACCAGTTTGTTCATAATATAAAAATAATATGGTTAAGAGACACCAGTCTGCAATATCAAGCAGCAAAATGAGCTGTTTTGTACAGCTAAAAATAGCTGGAAGCCAATGACACCAGACACAACATGAATTTTCATTGCATAAACAGCCTGTCTGAACCACAGAAATTAATCTTATTCTAAATTTACATTGTGTTCATACAGTTCTACAATTCAGTTAGCCTATACACTTATAAGTAGACGAATTAAAATCAATTAACTTATGTTTTAGTCAAAAATCGGTCAGTTAATTAGTACATTTCTTTTCTGTCAACTAAAATAGTACCACAAGAACCCAAACCTCAAAGAGAACTGAAAACCGGACTAGAACCGGAGTGTAAAGTGGATCGGAGCACTCAAAGCGCTCAGTCGGCTCCAACTCCAATCCACTCCGGGTTTCTCACTCACGAGTCGCGAGAGAAACCCGATCAGAGCGATCGCGAAGCCTGAGAAAAAAAAATCACCAAAACCTAACTTCGGAAAACTCAATCCCCGCAACAGGTAGAATGACACAACCGCGCCTGGATTGGCGAAACACCCAGGCTTAAAAAAAAAAAAAAAAAAATTTTGTTTTTTTTGTTTTTTTTGTTTATCTATTTAAAAACCCCCGTCGCTCGCTCCTCGTTCCACTTTGTCCGCCACATAGCCTACCGTAGTCCGAAGGCCGTGAACACAAACAAGCTTAGTGATACAAACAGTGAAACGTCCCAGTTATTTTATACGACGCTCGGCCAAGCATTTTATAAGACCGAAACGGTACAACTGTGTTACTGTTAAACAACGAACAGCTTAATGAGGGAAAAAATATCGAGGAGGGGGAAAAGCTGAGTGGAAAAATATGACATCAAACAAGATGTACAATAACTCATGAAATGTGAAACACTCAATCTCAGACGAAAATTAGATCATTAACTGTTCATCTAAACTCGCATTTAAGCATAAAAAAGCCATGCATGCAGCTATCCCAACTCCAGTCCCTGTGGGCTGTGGAGCCTGTTGATGCAATGCACAGGTGCTCTTCACAGCATCATTCACATCCACTCGAAAATCACATCTAACTCCTCTATTCTCCATCCAGCTAAGTGCAATCAGTTCACTTCAATTGACTCTGTTAAATGACACAAAGAGGTTAATCGTGAAATAGATTTAGATGGGGGGAAAAGGGATCGTGGAAAAAATATTTAAGCAACATCACACAAGTATGATTGCTGTTGTGCTGAATATCAGCATGGCTTTTATTATGCTATAGGCACAAGGCTGCAGGTTATCACAGCTGTGCTATAATATTAAAGTGACAATGAAACGGAAGTAGCGACATATCTTTTCTTATGTATTGTGATGTATATCCGAGTGTAGCGGACTATCGAAAAACAAACAAACTTGATTCTGTCTGCCAGTTCTTGATTGGATGTTAAAATGTGGGCATCAAACTCAAAAGTGGAGGTAGATACATATGAGCTTGTGGGGTGAAATTATTGTTGATTCCGCTGTAAGGAAATAACAAGAATAACAAAGTGCAGTAAACGGTAAAACTGTATGCACTACAAACCAGTTTGTTCATAATATAAAAATAATATGGTTAAGAGACACCAGTCTGCAATATCAAGCAGCAAAATGAGCTGTTTTGTACAGCTAAAAATAGCTGGAAGCCAATGACACCAGACACAACATGAATTTTCATTGCATAAACAGCCTGTCTGAACCACAGAAATTAATCTTATTCTAAATTTACATTGTGTTCATACAGTTCTACAATTCAGTTAGCCTATACACTTATAAGTAGACGAATTAAAATCAATTAACTTATGTTTTAGTCAAAAATCGGTCAGTTAATTAGTACATTTCTTTTCTGTCAACTAAAATAGTACCACAAGAACCCAAACCTCAAAGAGAACTGAAAACCGGACTAGAACCAGAGTGTAAAGTGGATCGGAGCACTCAAAGCGCTCAGTCGGCTCCAACTCCAATCCACTCCGGGTTTCTCACTCACGAGTCGCGAGAGAAACCCGATCAGAGCGATCGCGAAGCCTGAGAAAAAAAAATCACCAAAACCTAACTTCGGAAAACTCAATCCCCGCAACAGGTAGAATGACACAACCGCGCCTGGATTGGCGAAACACCCAGGCTTAAAAAAAAAAAAAAAAAAATTTTGTTTTTTTTGTTTTTTTTGTTTATCTATTTAAAAACCCCCGTCGCTCGCTCCTCGTTCCACTTTGTCCGCCACATAGCCTACCGTAGTCCGAAGGCCGTGAACACAAACAAGCTTAGTGATACAAACAGTGAAACGTCCCAGTTATTTTATACGACGCTCGGCCAAGCATTTTATAAGACCGAAACGGTACAACTGTGTTACTGTTAAACAACGAACAGCTTAATGAGGGAAAAAATATCGAGGAGGGGGAAAAGCTGAGTGGAAAAATATGACATCAAACAAGATGTACAATAACTCATGAAATGTGAAACACTCAATCTCAGACGAAAATTAGATCATTAACTGTTCATCTAAACTCGCATTTAAGCATAAAAAAGCCATGCATGCAGCTATCCCAACTCCAGTCCCTGTGGGCTGTGGAGCCTGTTGATGCAATGCACAGGTGCTCTTCACAGCATCATTCACATCCACTCGAAAATCACATCTTCAGCCTCACATTTAACCATAGAAAGTGTGACATCTCAGGTGCAAAATCACTTTAATAACTGAGGCAATCGTTTGGAGTTGAAGCTGAGAAGGAGAAAAAGAGGCGTAGATAATGATGCGACACAAAGCAGATGCAAAACCACTGTCTGCGCTGTAATAGAAGCTATTATCCTTAATATTCACATCACCCACATAAGCTAATCAACGTAACGTAACCCAAGGAAAAAGCCTTTACGGAAACCAAACCTAGCGAGTAGTCTATCCATATCACACTTAACTCTGCGCCGGTGAATATCGGTTCTGTTCATACACGTATCGGTCATGCAGAACAGTATATGGACTCTTCTTAAACGTTTAACTGTAACTTTACAATGCCATTTAGAGGCGTTAAAACAGACTAGACGTCCATACCTGCATCTTTCCGTCGGTGTGGTTGATGTGTTGTGTAGATAGTTGTCACACAGTTGATATCGAGGCTCGCTCATCAGTCTCCGCACACTCCACATCACCTCACAACTGCACTCAGGACATTTAGTTTTAATGGTGCCACTAACGAGGACGTCGGGGCTGTTAATGTTTCCTCAGCTCTCGCCGGGGAACTGAAAGAAAGGAGTGGACTCTTCAGCATCAGTGACAAAAAACATAAACCGGCAGACTTACGTCACATGGTGAGGAGTTTAATGAAAACCTTTCTGACCACCAGGTGGCACATTCCCGTGCTGGACTCACACAATTCACTGTGTGATTAATCATTCGTTCACGTTGTTTTGACAGAGCCTATCCATTCTCAGATCCGTCTTGAGATGTGCGATGAGCGTGTCTGTTTTCCAGAGTGCTGTGTTTGCCTTGATCACGAGATTCTGAGGACAAAGAGGCATTTGAATGTGCAGGTATAAAACTGATGAAAATGCACCTGAGGATTGAACTTTTCTGCCACGATTATGAATAGTGAAATCAGAACACACGCATATATGGAGTTTTTCTGTGTATGTGATGATATTTGTTAAGCCTTTATCATAACTCTACACTTAAAGGCACAATATGTAAGATTTTTTGTTATTAAAATATCCAAAAACCACTAGAACAGTGTTATATATTTTGCTGACTTGTGTACTTACAATATCCCAAATGTTTCGAAGAATGTTTAAATCCAGAGAAATGAGCAGTTTTAACTAGTGACACGGACCGTGTCTATAGTGTCATTGTGTCGCCTGCCAATGACGTCATAACCCCTCGATTTCCGGTTTTGTTTTGTAGAAAACATGGAAACACCAAAGATGCTTTAATATGTTATGCGTTTTAATAGACAGGTGACGACCGCACAGAGTAGCATTATAGCAGAACTTTCAAACGTATCTAGTATGATAAAACAGCACTGCTTTACCCCACATACGCACGACCGGAAGGCGCGGAAGTGCTGAAGTGTGGCATAATAAAAGCTCCGCTGCTTTCGAGCCGGGTGTCACGCTCGTCTCTCATTAGCAATTGCTTCAGCGGCCTCGTTTCTCTTCAACGGCTTTCTGCCTCACTCTGCTTCATACTACGATGTTAATAAATCTTTAATACATTAGCTCATCCATGAACTTGATTTCTGCCTGAGTCCCGTCGGATTGCATCGGCTGTGGGGATGAAGATGACAACTCCCATGATTCCACACTCAGTCACGGCCTTTGTTTCTTTGTTTGTTTTGAATACGCGCCCTCTAGCGGTGAAAACGTACATATTGTACCTTTAAGAGTACAAGTACACAGTTACAAAAATTGGGTGGTGTATGGAAGGCCGTTAGAGCCAAAAATGCACAAATTTTAATGCGTCTAGAACGTGTTGTTTACGCGTTGTTTGAGCTTCGATTACGCGTAAATTACATGCCGATTTTTCACGCGTAAACAACACGTATCCTACGCATAAACAACGCGTTCTAGACGCGTTCAAATTCGCATGTTTTTGGCCCCATATCGGCCTTCCATAGTGGTGCGCGTACAGTTCGCTTACTGTTCTGATGACGCCATTTGCGTCACACGCACTGTATGCAGTCCCTCGAGTATGCGTAAAAAGTGAAGTATACTTTGGGCTTTAAACCTAATCCTCACAAAAACCTGTTGGTGTCAGTAGAAATGGGAATGTTATGTTCTGCGTCTGACTGAGATGAATAGCATTCAGCCTGTCACTGTGTCTGTTCTCCAGTAAACCAGTGACGTACTGATGACATTTACAAAACAGCAAACATCCATCAGAAACAAATGGTTGATAAGAAGGACAAAATAAGCTCTCTACAAGACAAATGTGAATCACATACAGTGCAGGAAAACTGCTTTCCCCGGTGCTTTCTGGTTCTTAGAGACCAGCTTACTTTAACCAAAATAGCCCTGTTTTAAGCACTGCATGTATTATTGAAAGACTCAAGGTAGCAGACATGCATCTGGAGCACCATGAAAACGCTTTGCTTTTACCTTTTAACTTCATTCACAACAGGTCAGGCACTGAAATGCAATGAAATAGGGCATGTTTAATTTCATTAAAGGTTCATAAATGCATGTCAGTATCCGGACATCACCTTTGGATATAAAATGAAACTAGAAAGTCTGTGTGTACTACTAAAAAGCTGTTGTTTAATTAAAGAATGACTTTTAAATTCTACATTTAATGTCAAAAGTACATTGATTTGTCGTATGCAGAATTTCAAAAAGCAATCTAAAAACAAACACAAATGCATGTCTTACATTGAATGGTTGACACATTTAAAAAACTACAGTGACAGTGCATCGGTTTAATACATGGTTTTCAAGTTAGAAAACAATTTTCATCATGTAGCCAGGATTTCTTGAGTCCATAAGAGTCCACTATGGCTTTAGGGTAATCCAATCACAGATTAATGATAAGAGCTGTAAATGTTGCACTACAGTGGCCTCAGACTTGCTATCACTGAGGACAGCCTAGGAGGAAAACACACAATCAGATACAGAAGAACAGATCAAATTATTGTTAAAAACAGTTACTTCTGATAATTAGCCCTGCTGGGCATGATAAGCATGGGTCTGCTGTGTCACAGTTTCATAGTGTCATCAGTTAGCTTAGCTGAGTGAACATAAACATAACATTTTATTGGATATTGTTTTACATCAACACAAAGTGTAGGCTCTATTTTCAAGCTGGTGTCCTGGGACCCCTATAGGCTGCAAGCGAGTGCTAGTGGTCCACGGAAATTAGAGAGAAAAAAACAAAAACTATTTAAAACACATACACTACCATTCAAAAGTATACTTTGTTTTCTTGTAAGAAGTTTTTTATGCTTGCCAAGGCTGCATTTATTTGATCAGAAATACAGTATAAATGTATGTTTTCACATACAATTTATTTCTATGATTTGCGATTTTCAGCATCACTACTCCAGTCATCTGTGTCAAATGATCCTACGGAAATCATTCTAATAAGCTGATTTGGTGCTCAAGAAACATTTCTAATTATTATTATTATTTCCAGGAATCTTTGATGAATAGAAAGTTCAAAATAACAGCATTTATTTGAAATAGAATATTTTTTATTGTCACTTTTAATGCATCTGTGCTAAATAAAAGTATTAATTTCTTTTTTTCTTACTGACCCCAAATTTATGAAAAGGAAAAAAATTACCAATGTTAAAGCTGCAGTACGTAACTTTTTTTGGTTAAAAATGAGCCGAAATCAATATTTGAGCAAGTACATAACCAGCCAGTGTTCAAAATTATCACCTTACTTTAGCCTGATTCACAACGGTTAGCTTATAATAATGTTTTCTAATTTGAGAGGTACGGGTAGGTTTTTGCGGGAAATTCGAGCATGGCACTGCGTCATTACGTCACGTCTGTAAACATAAATAAATTGTCCCGGCTACTAAGCTATTGCATGTGAGGATCCTGCAGGTGGCCGATCATTTATAGCCTTTTCTCACAGCAGCCAGAATAATTAAATGTATCATTTTGATGGCGGATTGTAATCCATAAAGGATTATGTGTTTATGAAACACATGTGAATGAAATTAAATTATATTCCAGTTATAAATGTGCTTCTGATTACAGATAGCCTGTAAAATAACAATAATAATAATTTGAAAGGTTTGATGTGATATGAGCTATCCGATCTTTAGATTTAATCACCACTGGTAGCGAGATTTATGGTAATGATTTTTTCCTCAGTTGGTCAGAACAAACGTGGCAGACTTGTTACTTGTTCAGATGGCAATATATGGTGAAAATTCTTATTTGGGTCATATTCCAAGACGTAGGCTAGAATCTGTGATTGCGAAGTACAGTAAATATCCACAACCCATGCAAGCTAGATAATTCCGCACACATCTGCAATTCCAGGTTTTCAAACGGAGATGGCGACAAAGAGGCAAAACTTACAGACTGCAGCTTTAAATAAATATTTGTAATTGCTGTTGTAACAATATTCATTGTGAAAATAACCATACATATACATTTAAATTAAAATGTTTCTCAAGTTTAGACATCTAACAGTAATAGAGTAGTAAGTAGAAAAAAAAAATTATTCACTGTGATCCTAATACAAAGTAAATATTTTTCAGAATTTTTTGCTGTTAATACAGTGACACTATAAAAGCCAATTATTTAATTTTGGAAACAATGTAATGTTATATTTTTTCAACTTCTTCATCATTTTTAATAAATAGGTTTTAATACATGATAATATAGAGCTACTAAATATATTTTAGTATGAGGGTCCCTCATCATATTATTAAGGACCTTACAGGCCCCCTTATTACAGGGCAAGGACCCTCTCTGACTAGGCTGTGGCTTGTGTCTCTGCAGTATTAATTAAAAAGTGTATTTGCAGAAAAAAAAAGTTCTGATATAATGTTATATTAATAAAGTAGGTCAAAGTCTGAATAACAACATCAGTATGAGAGGCAGAGCATGACACTTTCTTTTAAATGACTTTGTATATTGTGTTGTGATACAATAACAATGATGACAGTCATTCTAATCAGCACATTAAAGATCACACCAAGATATATATATATATATATATATATATATATATATATATATATATATATATAAAGTATTGTGGTGTTTAGAAAAAAAATATAT